AGGCTAACTCTCACTTTTGTTTTTAAACACTAAGACCAAATTGGGGATTTTAGTCTGTCACCCTAAAGATTCTCCAATTCTATACCCAATAAAGAATATTTCCCTATTTATTTGCACTTAATTTCATGAACGAATTTCTCCTGCATGAAATCAAATGTGATCTTCACTCTGTTGTAGAACGCATACTCCATTTCCCAAATCATATGTTTCATAACATATTTTAATAAATCAATTGGCCAGATTGAAAAGTAAATTAAGTTTGGAGTTCAAAAATTATCACAATTTATTTTATATTTTAATTAAATGACGTATTCATATTATCTCTTCATTTCTCCAGATCTCAGAGTAGGGGGAAAGATTGAGGAAACTATTCAGACTTCATGAGAAAGATACGACAAAACACAAATTTCATATATAAAAGAAAATTCATACAACACTAAATAAACAAACAAACTTATTTGGAACTCTTTCTCAAAGAAAATCCTTTGTAGCCTTTTCTTAAAAATACAGGAAGAAGAACTCTTTCACTTTTCTCCTTCTCCAAAACTCTTACCAAAAGTTTCACACTAAATCTCACCACAAAAACTCTAAAATATGAAAGAAAAATTACTAATTGACTCCAATATGTGGTGGAATGAAGATGAATTATGGAAATGTAGCATTGTAGAATGTTGTAGAGCAAAAAATGAATGTAGAGGAGCCCCTTTTCTGATGAAATTCGGCCCCAAATAAAGCCCAAGATCGATTCTCCAAGAGGTGCTAACAAAAACCCTTCAAAAATCATCCAAATACAACGAACCTTCTAGAAATGAGGTCTGAATCGCCTTTGGCGCCATCAACGCTGAGTAAAAATCCTCCATCTTTAGGTCGTTCTGCGCCGTCAGCGCTGACCTTGGCTCTGCCGACGCTGAGTATTTCCTCAAAAAATGTCCTTTTGAGTCCCAATTTCATCATTTTTGCTTTAAGCCCTAAAAATCAATAATCTGCAAGAAAACATCAAAATACATTCCATTAAAGTGCAATATCACCAAAAAAAAGGTATAAAATATGGGTCTAGAAATGCATATATTTTTAGTGTATCAATTAAGAAGTTTCTTTTATGTAAAATTTTTCAGTTTGCACGAATAAGGTTACTTGCTTTTTACTACTAGTTATAGAAAATGATGTTATTTATCCTCACCATTTTTATTTTTTATCGTGGATGGGCTTTCTAACCTGCAAGAATTGAGCAGTGGCAGGTCTGCATATTTGCCCTTAAATATTTGAATTCCTTATCTCCTTTATGCTGATGATGTCATTATATGTAGATAAGCTTATCCTAATTATCTATCACACATTAGAGACCTCTTGAATAAGGTTCACAAGGCTTTTGGTCTTTTGGTAAATCCACCAAAAAGCCACATATACTTTATGAAAATATACTTTATGAAAGGCACTGAAAATGCTTGTCACCTTAGTTTTTTTCTTGGTTTTAATTATTCCTACCCTAGTTTTACAAAACATGTTCTCTTAGTATCATCACATAAGCATAAATTACTTAATTCTACCGTTTTAGAGAAGAACAAACTACATCTATATGGTTGGTAGGCAAAAAACCTTCTTTTGATTGACAGGTTCCAGTTGCTAAAGTTCACTATTTAAAGATATATTTTGTATTGGGTTAGATTTTTGTTTCTTCCCAAAACAATATTAAAATGCTTCATTAATGTTGCTCGAGTAATACTACAACTAAACAGGCTCATTTAGTGTCTTAGGAGCTTATCTGTAGGCCATGAGGTTGTGTAGTCTTAGGCTTCACTTTATTATTGCACTTTCATTTGATTTAATATTGAATCTTATTCTAAAATCTATTAACAGTGATTCTCCCCTCTCAAAATTTTTATGAAAAAAATACATGTTTCCTTAGAAAGGTTTCTAGAGCAACCTCCTTTTTAAAAAAAAAAAACTTTGAGGAATTGTTATAGATTTGAAGCCTCAATTATCCTTCTTCTATTGGAGTTGGTTCTCATATTATGCTTCTTTCATGGCTTAACTACAATAACCTTTGTGAAATTATTAGTGAAAGTGGGTTTCACTTAACTTCTTTCGATTCATTCTTCCTCACATATTAAACTCTAGGTTGGAATGTTCCCCCTACTTGCTTCTTATAACTTCTCATTGATTTTATTACTCACATTTAGAATCACTTGGAGGTTGAAGTTATCTTTTGGAAAGGATATCATTTAACCCATTTATAAAAAATTTCTGAGGCTTATTATAGTATTTATGCGAATGTTGACTGGTCTGACTTTATTTTACACAAGAATTTTGCTGTGTTTTTCTTTTTATTCTTGGTTTGCTCTTGATGATGCCCTCAAGATGGCAGATTCACTTCGACCAAGGAATATTCTGATTCAAGGTAATTGTGTGCTTTATTTTTGTTGTTATGATTTTGAAACTGCTAGCCATTTATTCTTTGCTAGTATTGTCGAACCCTATTCTAAAGGGATGGTTTCATTGGACTTCAAATTTTCTTCTTAGTGCATGACTTTTTCAAATTTTATAATTTATTTAGGATATGGACATCAACTCTAAAGGAAGTAAAAAAGTTTTAACTTTACCCTTGTCAACATCATATATAATATCTAAGGAGAGAGATACGATAGGCACTTTGGTGGTGTCATTGCTTGCAACACTTCTCTTATTTATTATATTAAGCAAGTTCTAAGACCCAAATTATTGAGATGAAAAAGAAAAAAAAAAGTTTGGATGTAGATTATGAACACATTTTGACCTCTGTAAGACATCTTGTTGGATTCATGTTCTTAGCTGCAACTTCAATCTATTTCCTCTACATGATATATTTGGTGAAGAGTACAACAATTTATGGCATATTCAAAATTCCTATTTTATGAAGCATATGATTTTGACTTTCCATTCTTTTTTAATGAGGAATTTTTTGCTGCAGTGTTAAAATTTTGTGCAACTTAGCTTTGAAGAGCTTTCTTCTGAATGCTTTGGCTGTAACTGTTCATGGGTTGCTTACGGTTGCAACTTACTACTTGCAAAATATTGTTTTCAAATTATAATAACACTTTTGTCATTAAGCAAATATTCTACTTTTTTAGCCCATTTTTTTATACTTCTTTTAGATTTTATTAGAATCAAAATACAGATTTGTAATTTGGATTCCTTGTAATTTTGCTTTTGACTTGGTGGTTGTAATTATCTCCTAACAATGACATTTCTGGCCTCTACACAATTTCTCCAAAAGAAATATATATATATATAAATAACATCAATTGAATTACTTCTCATTGTGCAAATCGGTATTCCTTATTTCCTCCGCATCCACGGCTGTGGTGCACTCAGAATCGTAAAATACTGACAAAACATCGCCACATTTTCACATTATAAATTTCACCAAATCTCCTTAATTCATCAACACTCTTCTTCCTCTCCCTTCGACTAACAACCAATGGGAACCATAAGTGCGGAGCAGAGCCGAGAAGCCGTCAACCTCTCGAACCACACCCCTTTCTCCAAACACCTAAAATCTCAGCTGAAAGAAACGTTCTTCCCCGACGACCCCTTCCGTCACATCTCCGACCATCCCCCGCTCCGCCGCACATGGGCCGTCCTCTGCTACTACATCCCCATCCTCCAATGGGCTCCCAAATACAAACACACTCTCTTCGCTTCTGACCTCCTCGCCGGCATAACCATTGCTAGCCTTGCCATCCCCCAAGGCATCAGCTACGCCAAGCTCGCCAACGTTCCTCCCATCATCGGCCTCTGTACTCTCCTTGCTTCAAATCATATATACTCTTCTTTTAGTCTAATGAACAGAAATTGAGTGATGGGTTTTGGTTGCAGATTCGAGCTTCGTGCCGCCTTTGGTGTACGCTGTTTTCGGGAGCTCGAATAATTTGGCGGTTGGTACGGTGGCGGCTGTGTCGTTGCTGCTTTCCTCGAGCATTCGTGGAAAGGTCTCGCCGGAGACAGAGCCGGAGTTGTATTTGCATACGGTGTTCACGGCGGCGCTCTTTACCGGATTGTTTCAGCTGGCGTTGGGCATTTTCAGGTCAGCAACTATGGATGGATGGACTAATTAGTCGTAATAATATAGTTATGTATATACACAGATCTTATTTGGAAAGTTTTGTATGCTCAATAGCTTATTCATTATCGCATATAAGTTTTTTAGTTATTTTCAGTGAAATATTAAAATTTGTTGGTGTTATAAAAAAAAATTATGGATTAAACTGATCGGTTTTGTATGCTCAATAGCTTATTCATTATCGCATATTGAATAAGCCCGGTGAAAATAAATTTTATGTGGTTCTTATTTTTATGTATTTACATATTTAACTATTAAAACTTTATATTTACTCTACTATTATTTAAATGTCCGAATCATATAAAAATATAAACATAAATGAAGTATTTTTTAAGAGCTAAGATAAGAAATAAATAAAAATCTGAGCATTAGATTAAATGTTTAAATGTAGAAGGATTTTATGATAAGTATTTAAATCTCCTTAAATTTTGCTAAATTATCTACAAATAACGTGGTTGATTTGTGCTAAGAGTCAAATTGAACATCGCATCTACCTGATTGCTCATACACCAACCGGCCGAAGGCATGGTTTGGTTTATTTGCAGTGAGGTTGGCACGAAATCAAGTTTAAGTTGTTGTGCTCGGATCACTAAATTGAAACTATTGGGTTCATATCTGACTTGAACTTGTTTTGAAATTATTTTGAGTTAACTCAAAATCGTTAGTACTTATCATTTTTATTTAAACTTATACACACGCTCAAATGTGAGACTTGTGAATTCATCATCATGCCAACAATAATTATTGCGGGCTTCAGAAAAGTGAAATTAAATAGATCTTGTGGGCTTCAAAAGAATTAAATTTTCTTGGGAATAGTTAGCTTTCAATATAGATTGATAGGTTGATTTATATATAGACAGTGTGCGTGGGGGGGGAACTATTTTTTGTTAAAAAAATATTATTATACTATAATTTTATTTTAAAAATAAGATTAAGAATAACGAACTTGAATTTAAGTATGTCAATTTTTTTTATTTATATCCGACGATCAAAGTTGATGACAAAATCAATGATCCGAAATGTCCGTCCACCTAACTATATGACATTTTAAAATGCAAATTCATTACTTAGTCTAGATTTCTTTTTTATAAATGTTAAAATATCTTATTTGATTTGATAACTTGAACTAAGAAGAAGTATTTATTCTGCACGTAAAATTTAACGTTAGTAAGACTTAATGAAATCACTTATTTGTTGAATATATTAAATCTGAACTTAAATCCAAAATTAAAAAAAATCATAAATTCATTAAACTTGTGTTTTTTGTGTTTTGTTGGATTTAGTAAATCCGGGAAATAAATTCTATTAACAGAGAGCCTACCAAACACCACCTTAGTTTAAGTATTTATATTTGTTAAATTATAATTGTAATTTTAAAAAATGAACTGCAGGCTCGGAATACTGGTGGATTTTTTGTCCAGGTCTACCATTACCGGGTTCATGGGAGGAACGGCGATGATTATTATTTTACAGCAAATCAAGGGCTTGCTTGGCCTCCAGCATTTTACCACCAAAACAGATCTGGTGTCCGTTGTGCACGCCGTCTTTCAAAATCGACAGGAGGTTTCTCTCTTTTTCTATAGAAAACTTTTTTACGTCTCCTCTTCTTCCATGTAATGGTAAATTTATAATTTCTATAAAATTGGAGTTTTCGATCAGTTCCTAATCCTGCCATTCCAAACATGCATGGAACAAATTTGATTGCGGGTTGGCCTCACAAAAACATAAAACTTGATTGTCTCAGTGAAAGACCATTAAACAATTCATTTTCATTTGTTGGATCCTTTTTTGTATGGTTAATTTTCCGCTTTGAAATTGGACAGATTAAGCGACCTATTCAGATGATAATGGATACGAACTAGCGATTACTTGTTTAGGAGATTTAAATTCTCATCTTTCTATTTTATAAAATCAAAATGCCAGCTAGTTATCTTTTCGTTATTTATACAAATTTAAGAATTTTTATACTGATTTAAGAACATTACTAATGAAAAAGTGGATCATTTTCATATGAAATACGAATAGGAAAAACCTAAAGTAGTCTCCAACTGCAAAAAAAAAAAAGTACAATTATGGATAGTTTTATTTTATTTTATTTGGTTAACAATTCAGCAATGATCAAATTATCTTTTACTTATTTTTAATTGTGGATTCTGTTTATGTGCAGTGGAAATGGCAGAGCGGGATTTTAGGTTTGGGGTTTATAGTAATTTTACTTTGTGCTCGACGTCTGGTACGTAGGGACAAACTTTGGCTCTTTTTTAGTTTAATTTCTTTTGTTGTTTAGTATTTTTATACCTAAGCATAAAGAATATTGCAGAAAGAAAAAGTACCAAGATTGTTTTGGGTAAATGCTATTTCTCCGCTGGCTGTGGTTGTGATGGGAGGAGTAATTGCCTTTGCGGTTGATGGGAATAACCAAGGAATTCCAATCGTAAGTTCCCCGTCACAATTTATGTTTTATTATTTTAATCTATATGACAAAATAAATATTGCTATTTAATTCCAAAAGTTTATATTTATTTAATGATTCATATGTCAAATGTCCAACCCGTTATTGTATTATATAAAATTTTATAATTTTGTAAACACTCATTATTAGTCATATTTTATTACGAAGTTAATTCCAATTTGTTAAGGCCACTATGTGGAGATATATATATATATATATATATATATATATATATATATATATATGATAAAATTTGTGGTATTATAATCCTTTTTGAAAGTTTTAGATCGCTGTTTTTTTCAAAAGTAAAACAAAATTTGATAAAAACTTGTTACAACAAGGAGAAAATGGCAGCTATTTGAAAATGTCTGCAAAACAGTATATGTTTATACATCTCTGATTTTGATCTTTGGGCTAAGCTCTAATTGATTGTTGTGTTTGGTCAAAAATGACCTTATAAAGGATTTTCAACAAAAATTGGATGCCAATTTGAGGTCTAAGGCATTCAATTGTTGAGATTTGGGGTGTTAGCCAAATTTGGGGCTAATTTGGGGATTTTGTCAAAGATGGTCAAATTGACCAAATTGGACCAAGGTATAGTTGGACAAAATGAAATTGGGAATATTTTGGATTTATTGGGATTTTTTAGGAATTTTTGGAATTTTTAGATTTTGGGTCATGGAGGGGCATCTTGGTAATTTGGTAATTTTTGGAAATTTTGACAAATTTGGATGTATTTAAAGTGTTTGGAATGAGTTTTGATCAATTTTGGGTATTTTGGCAAAATTTGGGAATTTTAGCCAAATTTGGGTATCAAGGGCAGTTAGGTAATTTGGAGGTGCCTAGGGGCAAAATACCAAGTTAAGCATTTCACATAGAATTGGATAGATATCCATTCTAAATGAACCAGGGATTAATACATTGTGAAGATATGGTGTATCCTAGTTCCAGGGTCGACCCTAAAGTCAAGTAATCCTATAGGGACTCTTCTTGAATTCTCTTATAATGATCTTACCTACTAAATGCTAGAGGTTAAGATCAATATGTGGAATTTCAAGCTGAGTAAAAAGAAGAGTTTTGAATTTCTAATGGTGGGGTACCTCTTCTAATTTTCTAAGACTAGTCAATAGGAAAGTCCTATGGCTAGACCTAGGCTACTAAAGAAGTTTTCTAGACCTCAATCGAAAGTGAGGTCAACAGGGCTATATAATTATTTCTCTATTAATTTTTCAATTTCTTTTGTTATTTTTTTATTTTTTTTTGTTGTATAAATTTTTTTTTATGAAATGAAATAAATTTTATCTTTCTTGTTTATTTTCACAGTAGTTACCATAATACTTGTTAGTTAGTTATTTAGCCAGTTTTATTTTATAAATTTCAATTATTTAGAAAGGCTTCAAAGAAGAGAGTTGTTGTAGCCGCTCGCACAACAAAAACCCCAAGAGCTTCTTTAGAAGTGGCATATATCTCTAGGGGCCCTCGCTCCCCTAGCCGCCATCGTGTTGATCCTATTCAACCCACTAAGACTACCGAAGCACTCCTTAATATGATAACTCTTATAGAGATTGTGACATAGAATGCTACCCAACACTACAAGCTCGTATTACAAATTAAATCACACTTGCATTTCAGATGATACAACAACCTACTCAACAAGTACTGCAAGAAGCTCAATCAGTGCAACTAGTTACTGTCATAGACATTCAATATAAATAACTAGTGTTGATGGCTAACAGAAGTGCCATGAATCAAGTGTTGGATCGGTTTTTGAAGATGCACCCTCATACCTTCAATGGTGCGGTAGACCTGATCTAATCATACAAATGGCTTCATGATATCTAAAAAAAATTTCATGAAATTAATTGCCCTGAAGATCGTAAGGTGGACATTTCTACATTTAAACAACATGAATGGGTTGACGATTGGTGAGAGAGTCGCCATTGCAACACTCTTGTACCGGATGTAGTATTTTTTTTGGGCAGATTTTGAGGGATTTCTTGGAGTAATATTTTCCTAGGGCGGATCGTGCAAAACTGATGAACAACTGAAGGAAGCGAGGGCAAGTAACAAAAGTTAATCAAGTGTATGAAACATAGTTTACCAGAATCATCAATGGATTAAAATGAAGATCGGAGAATTTATCATTTTCTTTTCAACTTAAGATAAAATATTCGAAGGAGCTTATCTGTTGTCAAATGTACTACATACTGAGAGTTGATTGATTGACCTATACATGTAGAGTTAGAGCTTAATGCTTGGGAAGGGCTATACATGCAGAGTTAGAGCTTACTGCCTATAAAAAAAAAACTATCGTAAAATGAAGGGGCATCGACGCCCTTACGCAAGTAGGGTCACTAAAGAAGCACAATAGAGATAAATTGAAGATTGAATCCAATTACTGTCACCTCGAGAAAAGACACATTGAACCTTGCATCTTAACTATTGGAAGTGCTTCAACTGCTATAGCCCCAAACACAAAATCAAGTACTACCCTTTACAAAGCCAAACTCAGCGCATAATAACCCAAGAGATGAACTTTAAGCAACAAAAGAATGAGAGGCATAAATCTAATAGATTTCATTATCAGAATCAAAATAACAAAGGATATACAAGTTAATACTATTTCCAACCCCAAAAACAGTTGTAACAAGTATCAACACCTTAGTCATATCATCAACATCCTCTTAGATTGCAATACCAACAACACCACTAGTTGCCACTAATGTATCAAAACCATTTAATGATACAATTTCAAAATCCTTATCAACCCAGGCTGATAATTTCACCCCAAACATTTATTATGACTCAACGAGAAGCTCATAAAGCTCTTAACATGGTGACATGTATTATCTTTATTTTATTTAGGCAACCGAAAATAATATTGGTTGACGCTTGGGTATCACATTTATTTATATCATATAAATTTATATCTAATATATAAATTTATTTATTAAATTTGCATCTATCAATCATTATGTCATCTAACTCATATGTGACAAAGATTAAGTCTGTTCTTGATTGTTATATATTACCAATGATATACCTATGTCTATTACACTTATAATATTTCTTCTACTTTAGTTTATATAATATTTGGTCTGAATTTAGGACTAAATTATTTTAAGGAGGATGGTATGTCTAATATATATAGTTTTTTCATTTTCTCTTCTTCCCAAATCACAAAATTTCTTTCTTTTTTTCTTTAACAAGCTTCAAATAAAACTTTCCCTTCCTTCTTTGTTCGCTAACACATTGTCTTTCCCTTTTGGTTGTCATGTGAATCTTGCAGACGAGCTTTTTAGCTGTCTCAATTTGGATGTGATGTTTCCTTGCCTTTTCTTTTTTCTCTTTGCCACCTTCCCAATCAAGAATTCGTGCCTTTCCCTCATTGACCTTGACTTTGTTATAAGAATAAGGTTAGGGCATCATAAATCTCCCCTACACTGGCTACCGACCAAGTATTTCCCTCTCCCACTCCCTCTTCTCCCTTCTACTTGACCTAGTCAAAGGTAGAGAATCAAAACCCTCTTCTTCACCTTCTTTCTTTTTTTCTTAAGCCCTTGGGGGAATTTTATTCCACACAAAAAAAAATTACAAAAGAGTGGCAAGAGGAGCCTACTAAACCCCCATACAAGTCACACAAGGAATAAAAAAACCTATGGCTTCTCTCCCAAAAAGAAGAAAAACAACTTACCTACCCATGTACCAAAAAGTAAAGAAAAAAAAACATTAAAGTAGATCTAAAACCACAAGTTTATTTAGATCTAAAGGCACATTCCTATAAAAAACAATAAAATGAAGTAAACTTCACGGTTTAGCAACCCAATTTATAGCTTTATTGCCATCTCTTCTTGCATGGGTCCAACAAATGCGTAACTCCTTAGTCAACTAAAAAATTCTCTTCATTTGCAAGTTTATGCTCCAATGATACTCCTTCTTTAACCTGCAAGCATTTCAAAGTAATAAGGAATCTATCTCAATATGAATATATTACCAACCATACTACTTGGTTATCACCAGACCAAGCATTACTCCCTCAGCTTCAATCATTAAAGGTGAAACAGGTAAAGCAGTCACAACAAACCAGACAATAACCAAACCTAGGAAATCCCTGCAAATACCACAAACTCTAGCTCTATTAGTATTCCAACTACCATCCACATTTATCTTGATGAAGTGAACACAAGGATTAGAGCAAGTAACCAAGCTACGCATACTAATAAGAATATATTGTCAATATTAAAGTTAGTCATAACCTTCTTAACTTGATATTATTCTTCCCTTTACAAGCAATATAAGAAAGGCTATTAGAAATGTAATTAGTGATCATACCAAAAGTATTATTCACTTTAGGTGTATAATTGAAATTTAATAGCATTCCTAGTATATCAAACAAACAAAAAAATAATAGAGCGAATATTAATGAAAAAAGCAATCCCAAGGGAAATCCAATCCTGATATATATCATTAACATCCTTATAAATACGCGCAAACCAATTCTTATTAAAAAGACTGGTAACTTTCTTCCAAATTTGCACGGAAAACCTGCATTCCACAAAAAAATATGATTAATTGATTCTTCATCATCTTTACAAAGTAAACAAAGTGAAGGAAATCCAATTCCTTTAAGGATATCATCTGTAGGCAAAATTCTGTGAAATAGTCTCCAAATGAAGAAGGAAAGTGACGGTTTCACCCATGCATTCTAATTCCATTTAAGATAAATACCCTGGAAAGAAAGAAAGGAATTAGCAAAAGTCTTGTCTATAGTATCCCCAACTTTACCTTTAACCTTATGAACATCCCCATTACCCCTCATAACAGTAATATTAGAAATAAATTTGGTATCATTATATTTGAGGACCGGTTTTAATTTATCAATGTTCTAACCATTATCTTACCAAAAATCATAAAATTTAATTTTAATATCTTGTGGACCACCATAGCATTCCACCAAAGTACCAGCCCCTAGCCAGTCATCGTTCCAAAATGAGACATTACCATTACTAATGTCCCAACTGATAAGATTATCAGTTAATCTGAAAACTTTCAGCATACCTTTCCAAATATAGGAATCAGACTTAGAATGAGTATACTCAAGAGGATGCATATTTTCACAATATTTAGAAGACATGAGAGAAGTCGAAATAGAATTTAATTGTTTAAAACGATGTCATAATTTCATATAACAAATTTGGATGGAATCTTCTAATCTTCTAAAACCCAAACCTTTTTTTATCCAGAGGTTTACAAAGTTTGTTCCAACTTTTCCAATGAAAGTTCTTCTTACCATTACCATCCTATAGAAATTTGTTAAATAAAATTTTCAATTTATTGACAAAACCTATGAGCGTGTCCATTACTTGCATAACATAAAGAGGCATAGAAGTTAAGATACTTTTAAGAATAGTAATTCTTCCCTGAAGGAAAGGAATTTATTCTCCCAAGAAACAATTCTATTTCTAATTTTATCAAACAAACTTTCAAAAAGAGGTTTTCTTTTTACTAGTTTTATCCAGTGTAAAACCCAAATAAACTAAAGGGAGCCGAGCCTTATTACATTTAGTATAATCTACCATTCAATTCTTCTTAGCCGCAGAAACATATTTAGAACAATAGATATGACATTTAGAAATATTGAAGCACATACCAGATGTTTTTTGAAAGAGGCAAATTTCCTTCCAAACTTTTTTGATGAATTTATTATTAGCATTTGTAAAAATAATTAAATCATCTGCAAAACTTAAGTGAGAGATAACAATCATGCCTTTACGCAAATAATACTTGCTGGGATATTTATAAAAAAGCTTATTAAGACATTTAGATAAGTAATCAAATGCAATAATGAAAAGATAAGGCCAGAAACATTTATAAAAAAGCTTATAAAAACCTTCTTCCTTCTTTGATCTTAGCAACTGGCAGAAGTCCTCTGTTTCTTTCTCTTTGGCTTACTTATTTGATCAAGAGAGACGTCAATGCCAATATCGCTCTTTTCACATTATTCGTTGTTTCCTTAAGTTTAATAGTACATATATATATATATATATATATATATATATATATATA